TACATTACCTGTGTCGACCCCAGGAGTTGAACCCACGACCTGTGTCTGTTCCCACAGTTGGTAGACTGTCGTAGGGTCTGTAGATTGTAGGGGTTCGATCTGTAGACCTGTCGAATACTGGTCTTAGGGAGTTCTAGAAGTTGTAGCTGTAGGTCCTCTGAAAGGTCAAGGTCGTAGCTGCTACAGTATCCGAAAGGCCAGGACTGAAACTTCCGGAATAGCAATAGGGATAGCAGCGTCCATAGCCGCCATAGCTGTTAGAAGGGTGTAGCATGTGTGTGTGCGCGTGTGTACAGTGGGACCACTGGGACGCATGTGGGATATCCAGGGTGATCCTGTGCGTGTGAACAGAGAGTTGTACAGGCGCTGTGCCGCCATAGCCATTTGAAGTGAACTTGTATCTGAACTGCGTTCTTGGCTACCAGATCTCTGAGTTCTGAGTGGGCGCTTGTCGCCAGTCTGTTGTGCAACCTGTTTACATGCATGTGAAGTGTGAAAGATAGCGAGTCTGATTGCACGTCAGTGTACAGGTTCTGCAGCCAAGGCCCGTGTGATCAAGACAACAACACAGAGGTGAGTTTGCACAGCATCCACAAAACAGCCAAGACAAGTGAGTAGAGTCAGCCAACACAACAAACAATCAATGTGCCAGCAGCTCATCCTCAATCAGCTGTCTCTCTGCAAATACCAATGCAGCCAGACACAACGGCCGACGCATGACACTACAGTGAAAGCTTGACACTACAGCGAAATCGTGAGGCTGTACCGTCCGCCAGCACACAAGTGCAAGTATCTCCTCACTGTCCCAGATTGCCACGTGTCACACACCCCAGCAGCCAGCGCAGCACGTGAGTGCCACGTCAGCAGTCAATGGCCAGCACAGCCTTTCAAACCAAGGTGCGCTAATGCCACATAGGCAATTGCACGTACATCAGCAGCTGCAAGGAGAACTGCCTGCCCGTATGACACATTAGCAGGTAGGTTGCGACACAGGTAAGTGCCACGTCAGACAGGAACCTGCCTCCCTGATGCCACGTCAGCACCCAGTGCCCTCTCTCTCACGGAGGAAGTCCAGTGCCACATCAGCAAGACCTCCAACAATGTCATGCCCCAGTACCCCAGCGCCACGTCAGCAACACTGCGCCACGTCCGCAATGTGCCCGTCTTCAATGTGTCCACGATATCATCTTGAGCGAGAAGGCACACGCGCGCTCGTACAATGTCCAGACAATGTCCAGATTGCGATGAGAATCGCGCGCTTCAAAAGACACGATTTGAACGCGTGCCGCACCTTTCCCCCCTTACTTACCTTCGTGCGCCACGGCGCGCCACAGCAGATCGCGACGAAGGAGGATGCTCCGATACCAAATTGTTATGAACCCACTCTGGAGTAAACTCGTCAAGTGCCGAAATGCAAGATAACTTGGCGCTGATAAATGTCCCCAATAATTGTGAAATGTGACCTGTGATACAAATGTCTCGCAACCAAAGGACAAAAGAGGAGAGAGGAAGATTAGCAGGTGGAAGAGAAAGTATCCATCATTGCCCAGGTAGATAGAAAACCCTCAATCCCCACTTCTTCCTCGGGCATCTCCTCCTCTCCACGTCAGCAAACAGTGTCCCAGAAACAAGCCTGATGAGTTCTGATAGAATCAGAGTGCCACGTGGCACAGTTCTCCCATGAAGACGTCACAACAGCGCACAATGTCGACATCAGCAACAGGTATGTCTCCTCTCTCTCTCAATCAATCCACAGATCCCAATCTCCCTCCTTGTCACGTCCCAATGAGCAATGAAGACAGTGTGGCATGAGCCACGTCAGCACTCAAGAAGACAGCGTGGCATGCACCACGTAAACAAGCAAGAACACAGCTGGCGCCAGAGCAGGAAGGCGCCAGCACGCGAATGCAGCAGTCTCCCGTCGTCGTCGCAGAATGCCAGCGTAGAGCCAGCGTCGTACCAGCGTCAAGTCAGTAAGGAAGGAGTGAATGTCGGATCAAAGTCCAGAGTCAATACATAGGTTGACCGTCCTTGAGTCCACCAAATGCGAAAGCTCAAATCGATCCACGGGCGAGGGCCTGGATCACGTACAGTCACAGACTTCCACTTGGTCCTCGTTCTGCCCAGGTACCTGCAAACATCCAGATGTGTGTGTCTGATCTTTGGCCAAGACCGGGTTCGTGCAGACTTTGACTCGGGCTTCGTTTCAACGAGGTACAGTTGACTTTTGTCAACTGTCGAGCGCAAGGCCTCCGCAGCCCATTTCTGAGGCCCTTCGGCCTCGGGGTAGGCCCGCTGCTCAGCATTAGGCATTAGCCTGTGGCCGTCAACCCAGCATATGGGGGGTCGATTATTGCATTAATTCTTTTTTTTTGTTTTTACAATTATCTTGTTTTATTTTGTTTTTGTTCTTCTGATTTCAGACAGTTGGCGTCATCTGCATTCTGGTGCCCGTTTTCAAAATTCCTTCTTTTGGGACTTTCGGAATTCGGACACTTGGCGCCATCCGACATTCTGGGGCCCACTGTTAGACTTTCAATTTTCAGTACTGGCCCTCAGGCATTTTCACTTTTGCCTCCAGGACCATACCTGAGTCCGGTACTTATGTCCGGACTCAAGCCCAGTACCTGCACCAAGTTTTCAGCCTCAGTGCTTGTGTTTAGTGCGACTTTGCTTTGACATTGTGTTCGGGAATTCAAGACTGCGAATTTGCGACTTTTGCCACTTTGTGTCTGCGTCCATCGAGTTGTGTCGAGTCTGTGTCAAGTTCAGTGAGCATGTGTGTGTGCTCTCACTCTCCCTCTCTCTCCCAGCCTCGCTGCTCTGCTTCTGCGTAGTCACAGCATAGGTGCGCCGCAAGTATGGTGGGTATGCAAGGCTGTCCAGACAATTGCAAGGAATATGAGTGTGAACGATATACAGAAAACCAAGTTGTGAAATCACACAGATGTCCAAGTAGTCGTGTACAAGCAGAGAGCACAATTGCACTGAGAATCCATCCAAATAGAGCAATACAATGAAGTAACGGGCCAATGTTCAAGCCCTCAGGCCACACCAACACAGTATCCAAAGTCGCTCCTTTCTGTCTGGCGCCCAGCGCCTGGCCTACTCTACTTGACTATCCTACCTACAGCTGTGTTCACGCAACAGGCTCACTTCGACACTCGAAGACCAATGTACATAACGTCAACACCATAGCCGACCTCTCTTCATGCACCAGGTACGTATCTCATCACCCTCATCAGATCTTGATAACCCACACACTCGCCTCCTTCCCTGAAGACCACCAGATCGCCCTCTTACCCCCCAGCCCCGCAGCCCGGCTATGGCTTCCAGTGCACCGCTGCCCTGCAGCGCCCCACTTCACCTCAAAGCGCCCCGAAAGCGCACTGGCCGCAACACAGCATCCAATGCAGCAGCGCGGCAACGCGACCACATTGCCTGCGCGGGCCAGAATGGCTGGCCTGGGCTGCCTCTCTTCCTATATGGAAGTGGCAGCCTCCTGGATGCTGTGTGTGGCCTGGCTGGAAGCTTCCAGTACCTTTCTGTTGGGCCCCAGTTCCTGCGCCCAGGACAGAGAGTACAGTTGAGGGCCTGGGCCCTTTACAGTTGGGCACGGCCTGAGTCTCCGGACTTGGGCCGTTTGCTGCATTTGCACGGGACCCCGGGTAGGTACGTCGACAGTACTGCTTTTGCACTGCCCGGTGGCCACTTCACGATGTATCGGCCCTGCTTTGTGTGTATGTGCCCAGGCGCAACTGCCAAGGCCTGGGCCAACTGTACGACGCAGCTTAGTGAGGCTCGTGCGTCCATTCAACCAATTGGCGAGCTGCAACAGCCTGAATACCCATATATGAAAATGTCGGATTTTGGCTTGTGATGAGCATTCAGGCCCGCCTTCACTTAGGGCGGGCACTCGGCTTGCTGGGGGCCTCTGCCCAGAACATGTGTTTGCCCGATAAGGCCCCTGTGAGGGCTCGTTCCTCGCACAATAGGTTTCTACAAGTATTACCAGAAGCTTGTTACAGATGATAACACACATTCCAAAACATCATAACCCCTTTCACTGCATGCTTAGCCTCCATTCCCCCCCCCCCCCCTTTAGCCCACTGTTAGACTTTCGATTTTCAGTACTGGCCCGGAGGCATTTTCACTTTCGCTCTCAGGACCGTACCTGAGTCCGGTACTTGTGTCCGGACTCAAGCCCCAGTACTGGCACCAAGTTTTCAGCCTCAGTGCTTGTGTTCAGTGGGACTTTGCTTCCACATTGTGTTCACGAATTCAAGACTGCGACTTTGCGACTTTTGCCACTTTGTGTCTGCGTCCATCGAGTCATGTCGAGTCTGTGTCGAGTTGAGTGAGCGTGTGTGTGTTCTCTCTCTCCCTCTCTCTCCCAGCCTCGCTGCTCTGCCTCTGCCTCGTCACAGCATAGGTACGCCACAAGTATGGTGGGTATACAAGGTTGTCCAGACAATATTTTTCTACAAGCATTACCAGAAGCTTGTTACAGATGATAACACACATTCCACAACATCATAACCTCTTTCACTGCATGCTTAGCCTCCATTCCCACCCCCCCCCGCTTTAGCCCCAACCTTTCCTTGTCATTCTTGGTCCTTTGATTCTTACTTTCTTGACAGCGGGGATGACAGATAGTTTATTACATGACACACAGTTGTGAGTCTTGTGCAGCTTGTGTCAAAGAGAAAATGCATTAATCACATGCAGCAAAGACATTGGTCGCTCACGTCACATGATGTAATGAACGCATCAGCTGCATTCAGTGCACAGGCATAAAAGAGTGAACCTTCACGAGAAGTCATGGCAATACATTTTCCCATCATACTGCCCAGGGCTGGCTCAGACACAGACACTGGCTTGGAAACAATGACTCCATATAGCAGATGCAAAATGCTCTGCTGTGAGGCACAGCTCTATTTTGTGTCCTTGGCAATGTCCTCTGGCCAAAGGAAGACTAAGTAGTTTCTGAGTTACCCCACCTTGTTGTTTCTGCCACCTCGGCAAGTGCCATTCTTCTTGCATCTGCTTTATCCAGAAAAGCAGAAATCTTGTTCGCAAAGGCCTCATCGCTGGATTGATCTCTGGATGCACCTATTGCTGCTGCTTGCTCCTCACGGGCATGTGCCAACCCTTTCTGCAGCGATGCCAGGGAATTCACTAACTCGCTCTGCTCCAACCACAGGGTTTTAAGGAACAGTGGAAAAATGTGAGCAACACACCGTGCAACCGTGTTGACAAATGATACAAACAGCTCCTCGCCCACTCGTATGACGAGACTCGCATAATTTGCTAAGGACGAACTGGCAATGGATAAACTTGCAAAGAGGATACCCTTGCACAAAAGAAAAACTTTGCAATGGATAAACTTGCAAAGAGAAAGACTAAAAGGTCATATGAATGATCGCAAGTATCTGTGTGTGTGTGTGAGTGTGTGTGTGTGTGTGTGTGTGTGTGTGTGTATGTGTGTGTGTGTGTGTGTGTGTGTGTGTGTGTGTGTGTGTGTGTGTGTGTGTGTGTGTGT